GCAGTGTTATCCACAACTTCGGGTACGGTTAACGACCAATCATAAGCATTTTTTTCGAGGAGAGCTACAGCATAATCAAACTTGACGTCATAAGGACAACCAATTTGATTGAGAATGCGCTCGGTCTTTTTCAGCCAATCTAAAATCACTTTTCGATTTATATAACCCTTAAAGGCCTCAACACCCATCTTCCACACCTCAGTATAATCCCTTTTGTAAGGAACTACCTGAGGTTGTTTATTAGCCTGAGGCTCAGCTTGAATTTGGGGAGGAGGCCGATTTGAACCTGCTACTTGAGGTAGCAGGGAATGCTCTCTTTCTCTCGAACTGAACTCCACGAGGAGATCGACGTTTCGAGCCATCGAATCTAGTCCTAGGCTCGTTCTAGAGGTAAGGGTTTCGATCTCATCGATTAAAAATCGAGCTGTGGATTGATTGTACGTGTATGAGATTTTCCGTTATTGAGACAAAAATTAAAGTCCTTTAGCGACAGAATCAGAGTCGTCGCTAAAGACTGCTGGGAAAATATCCAGATCAATGCCCAAGTATCCTGAATAAATAGCTTAGTCCTTAAGTTCTTAAAGTTTGACAATTTGACCCGAAAATCATATTGTTCTCCTAGATGAATTTATTTGCGACTATTTAAAGTGAGGTTTTATGCAAGCTGATAATTTTCTAAATTTCAAATTTTAGTAGGATGGTTGTGTATAAAGTTGGGAAGTTTCCAAGCAAAATTTCCAATTTTAAAAATTAGTTGAACTACAGTTTTTAAAGGACTAAAATACAATTCGAGATATTTTTCTGTAATTAGGTAATTTTGCTCGTAACTAGGAAATAGTAGGGTTACCCAAAATTAATATGGGAACTTTTCAAGTTGAGCGACTATTTATAAAAATTTATATAATTACCTTTTTAATTAAATAAATTAACTTTTAATTTTTTTATTAATTTGATAATTTATTTTTAAACTAGAGTCGTGAGAAAACATTAGAAAATTGATAATTGGAATTTTGATAATTATTTTGAAACTAGATTCATGAGCAAACATTAAAAAATTGATAATCATAATTTTAGACGTTGGTAATATTAATTTAGAGTCGTGAGCAAGCATTAGAAAATTGATTATCGAAATTTTAGATGTTGGTAATATAGGGATAAAATTTATTTATGTTAAAATTGAAGTGGAAAAGGGGTTCATCAAGGTGTTATTTATGATTAATAATTTTGACAAATATTTTGAGTCATTCAAAATCAGAATTTGGAGTTTTAAGACAGTAAAAGACTTCTGGAAATTAATGAAGTTTATTCAAGGGTTTATGAGGAAATAATTCAAGTCTTGCAATTTTTGGGATAAATATTCCAGTTTTTAAGGTAATTATTTAAAAGAGATTAATGGCCCTTTTAAATAGATTTTGGGACTAAGTAATTAACGAGGGAAATTTCCCGATACGTTAAAGGGGTTTTGAGGAGTTTCGACTAAGGGAAAATGTCTCCAGTTTATAGGAATAAGAAAACAATCGAATTAAGGGTAGGGATGGCAATGGGTCGGGTTGGCTCGGGTTTTGCAAACCCAAACCCATGGGTTTATTCGTAAAAAAATCGGGGTAAAGCCCACTGGGTTTGAAAACTCAAACCCAACCTAACCCGCTGGGTATCCGCGGGTTCATGGGTACCCACGGGTTTTTTTCGTAAAAAATTTACAATAACAAGTTCCTATCAAAATTTAAGTCTAATATCAATCTCTCAATACAAATTATCCATATATAAAAAATCATTCTAGAAAATTCAAGCAAATCACAAATAACTATGCAAATTGTTCAACACCAATCTAGAAAACTCAAGAAAATTGAAGCAAATTACAAATTATCCATAAATAACATGATTAATTGAAAGCTTCTTCCTCTTTGTCAATTAAGTTTCTTCACTCTCCACTCAATAACATCAACTTCATTCTACACAATTAGAAAGAAAAAATTAGACATGTCTCCACAAACATAAATAAGATTAGTTGTTTAGAAAATTAAACATACCGAGAAAATTAATTATATGGGTGTGGGCGGGTACCCATGGGGCAGGTTTACCTAAACCCAAACCCAAACCCAACCCAACCCGTTGAATAGTGAATGAGTTTAAACTCGAACCCGGCCAAAACCCGTCAACACGGATTTTACCTTCGTTGACCGGGTTGGATCGGGTGGGTACCCGTGGGTTCGGGTTTTGTTGCTATCCCTAATTAAGGGACTCTATGTCAAAGGAAGTAAAGAACCATCCTTTGAGAGGTGAGTGTAAAGAGGGTAACTTCTACGCCTTACGGTACTTAAGCTTTTGAGATTGACTACTATGTGTCATACTTGCATTTGTATATTTTATATGATACCATATGAATTTGTGTGAGTATTCTTTCAGTTTTCATGTTTTGAATGCTTTACTTACAAGTAAGTTCAAGTTTAAGAAACAAGTTTTCTTTTAAGAAGTACTTCACCTTCAGTGAAGGTGAAGTAGTTTTAGGAGTTTTTAGTCACTAGCGCCAATTTGTTGCCATTGAGACTTTTAAGATGAGAAGCAGTTATGCTCTTAAGACTTTTGAGATGAGCAACAATTATGCTCTTGAGACTTTTAAGATGAGCAACATTTATGCTCTTGAGAATCGTTGAGACTTCCACGATAAGTTTAAGTTTATGGAAAGCTTGGATGGGCTCTCATACGTATGATTTGGGCAACCGGACTAGCTAGTGAGGGATCTCTGTGTCAGTAAAGTATTTAAGTCAAGATTTGAGTTTTAAGAATGGAGAGTAGCACAAACTCCCAACAGTTTAAGTACTATACTAGAGAGTTCTAAACATAAGGGCGTAGACTGACCCCAACTCACTCACCAGATCGTAGAGGAGGAAATCATAACCAAACAGTTCGTGACTAGCAAGTTAGAGGAGCTCAACACCACCGTCGCTGAGGAATGTCAAACCAGGCTTCAGAGTAAGCATTGGAGAATTGTTTAAGTTATTAAGACTTTATGGTTATGAGTTTAAGAACGGGAGATTCCTTTCTTTCTCTTAAGAGTACATTTTAAGTTTTGCCCCGTGTTTAGGGCTTTGCTTTGAGATACTAAATTACTTGAGATTGGTACTTTATTTAAAGTTATGTTATTTGAAAATTTTAAATATACCCCGGGGTAGAAATGTTGTTTTTCAAGTTTCAAAGTAGTGGGATGTTTCATTTTGGTATCAGAGCCTGGTTTCCTCTGTTTCTTGGTTTCCAAGGAATATTGGAATATCGGTCTCACGTTTTAAAGGTTTTGTTTTTTTAAAGGAAGGGAAAAAGATTTCAAGTTAAAATTTGGCCAAACAAGTCAAAGATTTCTCTTTAGAATTTAGAATCCCCAGTCTACTCTAAACCATGTTAAGGAATAAATAACTAAGTTCTACTGAGACCTTTTGTGTCTGTAGTGCATTGTTGGTCAAAATCCCACACCACCTGTGCCACCACTAGTGAGACCTCCACTGGACTATGTAGCTTTCCGGAAAAAGAATGTGGAAGATTTTAAGGGGGACCGTTCAACGGACCCCATGGGGGTAGAGCAATGGCTAGCCAAGGTCACTCGTAGGCTGATCGAGATGAGGGCTGATGACGAGGACAAAGTATTGCTGATAGTGTCCTTGCCGCAAGATGTTGCATACAACTGGTGGACTACCTAGCCAACTAGTCGAGAGGACCCATCGGTCATCACCTGGCCAGAGTCGTTCAGCTATTTATAGACCACTTTATACCAAAGGCTACTGGATTGGGAAGCAGAGGGAATTCTTGTTGATAAGGCAGAACTGGGGTAGCGCAGGCAGGGAGAGCATGGTTGATTACACGTCAAGGTTTGACAAGTTGCTCACTTATGGAGGGCCTCAATTTCAGGATGCATAGACTCAACAAACCCATTACCTGGAGAGCCTGAAGCCTCCATTTAGGCATCAGATGAGTATGCTAAATTGGAACAACAGGGAGGAGATCTATCAGGAAACTATTCAGTTAGAGAGGGCAGATACGACTCTACATGAGGAGGCAATGCAACGAGAAGGGAACAAGAGAAAGGCTGCTAGCATGTCTAAGGGGCCAAGCCAGCCGAGTCAGCAGAGGAGAAGACCATCCCAAAGCTACTATGAGGCCACCTAGAGCAAGGCGGGCTCAACATGATCAGTGCTGACCTACATTCACCGGGACCCTTGCAACCAGTCTGGGAGAACTCACCCAGGAGAGTGTAAGGTACACCTTGGAGGCATCTGCTATCACTTGAATGAGTCGGGCCACTATGCTAAAGATTGCCCTAGGAAAAGAGTGCAAGGGAGAGCCCAATCCAAACAGTCAGTTCGGGGCGGAGGAGAATTCATTTGTCAAATGAATCGAGAATTCATTTCATTGTAAAATGAATTACCTGTGTAGAATTCATTGTCAAATGAAATCTTGTGTTTGGTATGTCATATTCAAATCTTTAGAAATAAAATAAATTGCAGTGTAGAATTCATTGTCAAATGAATTCTTGTGTTTGGTATGTCATATGTATAAGTAATTTAGTTAATAAAAGAGGATGATTATGACATTCTATTATAATTAGTAAATACTTGTGGAATTCATTTGGAAATTCCATCTAAATTTCTCGGAATTGCTATAACTAGTTCCAATTCCATAGAATTCAAAATTTATAATTAAAAATAAATTATTTTAAATACCAAACACAAAAATGTTTCATCTCCAAATGAATTTCTCAAAATTTATGAAATTCATTTATACTAAGTGGTATGTAAATTTTATTTACTTTATCTCAAATTACATGGGATTATAATTTAACTGCATGGCATTTTAGCGGTAAGAAAGTTGCAGTTATGTGAGAAACTGAAGGGCCAAAATGCTAATTAACCCAAGCAGCCAAATCCGGAACACAAGTACTGTTCTATATAAGGACGAGTATTTGAGCCCAAGAATGAAAAAACCCATCAATTAAATATCTCTGGCTGCCTCTCTTTCTCTCTCACTCTTGCTCCGGTCCAGTGCTGTGTGGGAAAGAAGACGAAGAGAGACAAGAGAGCGAGCGCAAACAACCCAAACCAAACCCAAGGGTAAAAGAAAATAAAAGAAAGTAAAGGGAGAGGCGAAACGGAGCGAAAACCAGAGAGTCATGGTCTCGACCAGAAGAAGTGGATCTCTCTCTGGTAACAACAACAACCATAGCACCCGTAAATCATCATCCTCCTCCGAAGATAAGCCTCCTTCGCCGAAGCGTCAAAAGGTATGCGTGCGTGTTCTAACGCAGACGGATGGCTTCCAATTGCTTTCTTTTCCCTTTAGCGCGGTCGCGGCGGCGGCGGCCGTTTTTTTCATCCGAGTTGGTGACCTATTCGTTTTCTTTTGTTACGATGGCAGAGCGATAATGGTACAGCATCGGAAAAACCGATGCCGGCAGCGGAAGCTTCCAAGGAATTGTGCCCGCCACTGGCGCCAGATCCCGCGGAATGTGGGACCGCCGATGGTGCGGTTGCGGGAGGTGGTGTCGGCGAGGATGTGAGTCCTGGTAAAGGCGAAGCAGGACCTGCGGTGGCGGTGGTGCCGCCGATCGCCGACGGTAGGTGCTTTTGAACTTGTGGGCCATTTCTTCTTCTTTTACTACTACAGATGACCGTGTTGCTTTGCCCCTGATTGGGGGATGGGTTGAATTTTGTTGTTGTGATCGGTTTTTACTTGGCCTGGTAGGTTCCACGCCGATTGCCCTGGATAAACCGAGGAGTTCTTTCTCATCTTGGATATGTCAGAAGCAGAACCCAAATTTCGAGACGTTAACTCCATGGTGTAAGCTTCTGTCACAGTCTGCACAGGTTAGTTGAGCTTTTTTATTGGTGAAATTGGGATCATTTCTAGTCTGTTGATTCAAGTTGACTTGTAATCTGCGGGAGTTTATGTACTCATTGACGAGCTTTTTAAAATCTACTCCATTCTGATTTTGTTAAGCTCGGCTTCTCTCTAGAATTTGAAATGGTTTGGCTCTCTCTCTTGCTGCAGAATCCAAACATAATCATTTGCCCAGCAAGCTTCACTATTGGCTCAAGCAGGCATTGCAGTTTTGTGCTGAAGGATCAGCCAATAAGTCAAGTTTTATGTAAAATAAAGCAGACACAGGTATTTATGTAACCATGGAGTTATTTAACCTAAGATGATTTATATTCTCAAAGAAAAGAGAGTGAGGATAGGTAAAAGATGATTGGTCCTATGGAGTGTTGAAATCACGTTTCAGTGGAATTATGGAGCTGTATAGTGTCATATTTGTTCTTCTGGAGGTGAACTCCTTAAAATGTATATGCAGTTTGAGAACTCATTGTTTGTGGACATGATCAGCGCGAAGGGAGTACTGTTGCTGTCCTGGAAAGCACGGGGAGCAAAGGATCTGTTCAAGTAAATGGGTCTATTGTCAAGAAGAATTCTAGCCGTGTTCTTAGCTCAGGAGATGAGGTGGTTTTTGGTCTATTGGGTAACCATGCATATGTATCCTTTTCTGAAGTTTGATGGACTCTTACTTAAAGGCTTTGGATGCTGTCAGGCTCAATTTGATTATCCCCTTCCTAATGAATCATTTGCTTGTATTGTGTTGTTGTAAACAACTTTATTGATCTCCTTAATGAGTGCCAATGAAGATTTTTCAGCAACTCCTAACTGAGGTTGCCCTGAAGGGCATGGAGGTTCACAATAGTTTGGGGAAATTCTTGCAACTTGAGAGGAGGTCAGGAGACCCTTCAGCTGTTGCAGGGGCATCCATATTAGCTTCTCTTTCAAGCCTTAGGCAAGATTTGTCTCGTTGGAAGTCTACAGGTCAGACTTCTAGCAGATTTCACCAAGGAGATGAAGTTGCTGGTCCTTCTGTTCAGAATAGCCCAGAGGTTGATGTTGATGCTTTGGAAGAAATTTCAATTCCTAACCAGGGGACTGATAAAGCTGCAGACGTTGTAGAAGTACCCAAGAACGTTCCCCATGATTGCAGCCAAGACTCTGGCATAGAGAAATGCAATGGCAAATTATCCGAGGTGAATTTTGATACGGTTCAGGTTGTTAGCTCTATCATCTAGCTGTAAACACAATTTGAGCGTGAGTTTCTGTGAACAGGTTTTAGAGGAAAAGAACGAGTGGGCGAGGGACTTTCAGCAGCCATCGACCTCGGGGATTTCACTTAGGGCTGCAGTCATCAAAGAAGACATTCATGCTGGAATTCTAGATGGCAAAAACATAGACGTTTCATTTGACAACTTCCCATATTTCCTGAGGTAGGATTTCTCATGTACCAGTTTTTGTTTTTAGTATAGTTCTAGACAATGATCTTTATCCTCTGGGAAATTCATTGCATGTTTTTGTACTTTGTTCATTGACAAATGATTGGTGGGCCTTCTTTTTTTGTGCAGTGAAAATACAAAAAACGTGCTTATAGCAGCTTCATTTATACACCTGAAGCACAAAGAACATGCTAAATATACTTCAGAACTCTCTACTGTTAATCCACGAATTTTGCTATCTGGTCCAGCTGGTATGTCACCATTCTGTTCCATCGTCTCCCACTTAAATCTACCCTTGAATCTACAGTTTAACTAATAACTTTCATTGTCATCTTATGTTAAGGTTCGGAGATATATCAGGAGATGTTAGCAAAGGCACTTGCTAATTACTTTGGGTCTAAATTGCTCATATTCGATAGCCATTCATTTGTTGGGGTAGGTTTAATGCAGTCTTGCCTGTCCTTGCTGAACACTTTATGCTGGTCATTCATTAATCTATCATGCGAAATCCTGTACTGGAAATTCAGGGCTTATCTTCAAAGAAATTGGAGCTTTTTAAGGATGGAATGAATGCAGAAAAGTCCTGCACTTTTGCTAAACAAAGTCCTCTAACCACTGATGTGCTAAAGAACATTCAGTCAGCTGGTGAAGCAGAAACACCAAGCTCCTCTACTGTCCCTTCAGGGCGAGAATCTCAAGCAAAGACTGATTTTGATAGTGTACCCTCCTCTTCTGGGGCATCTAAAACTACAAAGTTTAAATTAGGTATTAAGTTTCTGTAGGCAGGCATCTTCGTTTCTATGCAAATGGATTTTCAGATTTTGTGTATGTGCCTCTGCTTGTTACTGAAGATGCATTAAACTATGATCATGGAAATCGTAGGTGACAGAGTAAAATTCTCGACGTCTGCTTCTTGTTTGTATCCAACAGCATCTTCATCTAGGTAAGTTCTAGCAAGATTTTTATAATGGACAGAAGGTACCATCAGATTGGTCCTGAAATTTTTGCAAGCCCATGAGTATTGCAGAGTTGAAGTTCTTGGAATGCATGCTTACATATGCGGTTTTGACTTTATGTTTGTAAGCCTGTTTCAGTGTTTTGCAACCATCATTTACTTTTTGTGAACATGATCTGTAGGGGTCCACTCTCTGGGATTCGGGGAAAGGTCATTTTACAATTTGAAGACAATCCTATAGCAAAAGTTGGTGTGAAATTTGATAAACCCGTACCTGATGGGGTTGATCTTGGAGGTTTATGCGAGTTAGGTCATGGATACTTCTGCAACGGTGATTATCGATGTGAACTTTAATATTTTCATGTTATAATGCTTTTTCTATTGTCCAATCTACTAAAATATTTCTCACCTTTTCAGTTACTGATCTGCGTCTGGAGAACAGTGATGATTTGGACAGATTACTTATTAACATCTTATTTGAGGTATTGATGCTGTAGTCTTGTATTATTAGTAACTATACTGCCTTTCGCTTCTTTACCATTTGCATGTCTCTTTTTCAGGCTGTTTACAGTGAGAGCAGAACTTCCCCATTCATTCTGTTTGTGAAAGATTCTGAGAAGTCCATTGCTGCAAACTCCGACTCATACACCACATTTAAAAGCAGGCTTGAAAAGCTTCCCGACAATGTGATTGTTATTGGCTCTCATACACAGACAGACAATAGAAAGGAAAAGGTGCCAGTTTTTTGGTTTCCTAAGATGAGTGTTTCGATGTTGTTCATGTATATTGTCCAAGGAGGCTTAGAAAAGGTTTCGACCATTTTAATTAGCAGCAAGATTGAAAGCAACTTCATGATTGTCTTATTCATTTTCAGCAAATGTGCCGTTCTGAAACCTTCCTATTGTCATTCCTATCAATTATTTCCTGACATTGCTTAGCATGCATAGTTTCTATGGTGTCTTTAATGGGTTCTTTTGTTTGTAAATTCATTGAAATAGAAAGGATAAGTATCCGATTTTGACCATGACCTTGCATGTGCATTTCCTAGCCCTGGAGGAAAGGAACTTTCTCTTGATTGTGTAATTTCTGCTTGGGTAGTTGCCAGGCAGATTTTTAGTTTGGTTTTAGAAGTGGTATTCACCTTCTGGCATTTGTTTGCAGTCACATCCAGGTGGACTCCTTTTCACTAAATTTGGCAGCAACCAGACTGCTCTTCTTGACCTGGCATTTCCTGTAACTATTCTTTCTGCTTCCCTTTTCCTTATGAACATTTAGACGTTAGTGATGTAGGTGTCTGATCCATCCTGCATGTCAATTCCTCAGGATAGTTTTGGCAGACTTCATGATAGAGGTAAAGAAGTACCAAAGGCAACAAAACTTCTGACCAAGCTTTTCCCGAATAAAGTTGCAATTCACATGCCACAGGTCTGTGATATAGTACTATTTTAGTTGTAAGGATTACAATATGACAATCTGATAGAGACTTACTAAACATTGCAGGAGGAGGGTCTTCTAGCTTCTTGGAAGCAAGATTTAGAACGAGATGCCGAAACTCTTAAAATGAAGGGAAATCTCAATCATCTCCGCACTGTAAGTTCTCTTGCTGGTTGCTATTGTAAAAGTTAAATTTCTCTCAAATGCTTTTGGGTCTTTTTGGCTCGATGCTCTTATCCCAATTAATCGGGTTAATTCTTGTTCTAATCACAAATTGCTGTTTGTGCTCCCCTCTTCTTCTACTTCATCAACACCCTTTTCTTTGTCCTTCTACTCAGATATTGTACCATTACTGGCACTAATTAACAGTGAATGAAACTATGGAATTCTGTACGTCATACCTTATTTATCTTGAGCATGGCATTTGTAGCCCCTCACTGTTACCCTTGGGAAGAGTTGATTAAATATCTTCACAATGAAAATCACATCCTCTCTCCATTTTTAGTTGTCATGTGCATACCTCCTTTGTAAACAAAGGCAATTAAAGCGCTCTGCTGCAATCTTAGTGGTTCTTCATTTGCCCTTTTTTTCCTTCTCAGGGTGTTGCAAAATGTTGTAGTTCTCTTGCTTAGTTTTCAGAAAGTTGGTTGATGAGAGCTCATGTGTTTGTCAATACTGAAGTTTGTCTCTTTGTTGATGACTCTTCATATTTGCTGGCATGTCTATTTCTGTCGTGTAAAATGCTGGAAGGTCGTCAATAAAGTAATATGAGTGACATCATCTCTGTCCAGTATTGGCAAGGGCAGTTTCTCTTATTTATCCTGTCTTTATTTCCAGACATTGTTTGTGAGGTTCTACGTAGTAGGATTATGGTCTGACTAAAAGCTATATGTAGGTTTTGGGTCGTTGTGGAGTCGAATGCGATGGCTTGGAGACACTAAGCATCAAGGATCAAACACTTACAAATGAAAGTATGTATTTTGTTCTGTCAGGTAGAGTTTTGTGATGAACTCTCCTAACGTCCCTGGCCTTATCGTGCATTGCAGGTGCCGAGAAGGTGATTGGTTGGGCTATAAGTCATCACCTTATGCATAATCCTGAAGCTGAATCTGATACTAGGCTCGTTCTGTCTACCGAAAGGTAATTTGGTTGATTAACATCTCTGAATTGTCTCTCATGGAGCTTTAGTTATTGAATTATTTAACGATGTAAATGCAATGTTTTGTTTGTGGCAGCATCCACTATGGCATGGAAATCTTGTATGCATTGCAGAATGAATCTAAAAGCTCAAAGAAGTCTCTCAAGGTGACTGACAGTAGTTCTAGTCAAATTGATTTTGCCTGGCTTGCCAATCTTAAAAATGAACTTGCATGTTCTATGTATTTTGTTCTGTTTTGGTAGTTCTCAAGTTAAGCTTCTTGAGTCATATTTTTGGTCCATAATCAGGATGTCGTGACAGAAAATGAGTTTGAGAAAAGGCTCCTGGCTGATGTTATTCCACCTAATGATATTGGGGTTACATTTGATGATATTGGAGCTCTTGAAAATGTCAAGGATACATTGAAAGAGTTGGTGATGCTTCCATTACAACGACCTGAGCTTTTCTGCAAAGGGCAATTAACTAAGGTTCCTTTCTTTTTCATACTCCAGCAAGCTCCCTAACCTCCCTTAAGAGTGTTTTTTCCTTATGAAAAATCTTGGGTTGCTAATTGTAATAGGGAAGTTAACAATCTCTTTTTGTTACTGATTGTTTTGATATGTAGCCTTGCAAGGGAATACTTCTGTTTGGACCTCCTGGAACTGGTAAGACCATGCTTGCAAAGGCCGTGGCAACTGAAGCTGGTGCAAACTTCATCAATATTTCAATGTCGAGCATCACTTCTAAGGTTAAGTCTACGACTGGACTAGATACTATGGTTCTCTTTTTTTTTTTTCATTTTTTCCAAATGCATTCATTATTCATATTTTCCTCATTTATGCTTACAGTGGTTTGGCGAGGGTGAAAAATATGTGAAAGCTGTTTTTTCTCTGGCCAGCAAAATTGCTCCTAGTGTCGTCTTTGTTGACGAGGCAAGTTTCATTTACAATTCCGCTAGTGGAATTTTGAGTTTGCTATGTGTGGTTGTTAGTTGAATATTAAGCCAGTTCGATGCCCACTCTGTACTTTTTCTTTTGCTGTATATAGGTTGATAGCATGTTAGGAAGGAGAGAAAATCCAGGAGAGCACGAGGCTATGCGGAAGATGAAGAATGAATTCATGGTGAACTGGGATGGCTTGCGAACAAAAGACACTGAGCGGGTTTTGGTACTTGCAGCTACAAATAGACCGTTTGACCTTGACGAAGCTGTCATTAGAAGGCTTCCCCGAAGGTAAAAATTGTTGCACATTCTAGTGAGATGGGAACACTAGTGTTGCTGAGGTTTCTGAATAAAGTCTTCTTTGTCTGTGACATCTGCTGCGTTCCCAGATTGATGGTAAATCTTCCCGACGCTCCAAATAGAGCCAAGATAATGAAAGTCATATTGGCAAAAGAGGATTTGTCTCCAACTGTTGATATTGATGCAGTTGCAAGCATGACTGATGGATATTCTGGAAGTGACCTCAAGGTGTTTTAGCTTTGAAAGTTTTTCAGTGGATAATTGTTCATGGATCACCTCCCCTTCCTCTCTAGCTGTTCTTGACCTTCCAAGAGTTCTAACCTATGATAACTAACCATCTTGTCGTCTTTATTATTCTCTCTTTTGTAGAACTTGTGTGTGACTGCAGCTCACCGCCCAATAAAAGAGATACTGGAGAAGGAGAAAAAGGTATTGTGCTCAGTTTCTGCATTTGCTCAACTGCATTCCTTGGTACAGGTTTACTTGAGATTACCTTTCATTCATGTCTACTTGATCGAGGAAGTGCTCAAATTATCTGGAATTACGTTTATCATACTGAAAACACTATCAGGCTCTGTTGGTCTTGTACTTAGTTCCCTGTAGGGATTGTTTAGGCATAAGCTTTTTGTGTCTCGGTTCGTTCTGGTCTGATGGTTAGTTCCATTTGAATTAACTACAGGAACACGCGGCAGCTGAGGCAGAAGGTAAACCTCCACCAGCATTAAGTGGAAGTTCAGACATACGCCCTCTGAACATGGAGGACTTCAAATATGCTCATGAAAGGGTATGCGCAAGCGTGTCTTCAGAGTCGGTGAACATGACGGAGCTTCTGCAGTGGAATGAACTATATGGCGAAGGTGGGTCTCGGAGAAAGAAGGCCCTCAGCTACTTCATGTAAATTGCATCTTTTGTACAATTGTGCCCCCTCGCCCTTGCCCTCTTTTGTATCTTTTAACTTATAAAAGTTTCCCTTCTTCATTTTTGTTTCAGCTCTCAGAGCAGTGTCATTTTGTTGTAACATTAATAACCAAACTATAGGTCTCGTCGGTGGTCATTCTTTTTAACTTAAAATTGTTCAGTATTTTGCTGTGTATGAGATCGAGGTGGAGGGAAAAGAAAGGGCTGGGTTTTTTGCGAGGATAAAGGTGAAGGGATGTAAAAGAGCTGGTGTTTGTAGTTTGTACTCTTTTCTTTTTTTCCTACCCAGCCGGTCTTCCTCATCAATCCACCAGCTGGCTCCACCATGTTTAGAGTTCTGGGAGGATGTGCAGAAAGTTGTGGGGAAGAAAGGGAAGAACAGGAACCTCTAGTCGTACTGTGAATGTGTTGTATTAATAATGATTAATGTCTATATAGTGTATGTTCTGTCTTATGCAACATGATAGAAATAAGGTTCTATCGGATTTGATGTTTGGGAATTAGAGTTTATACGAACAGAATTAGGGATTGAGATTATGAGAGGAAGAACAGAATTAAGAATCGGCCGAAGCCTTGGACTAGGCAAGAAGAGAAATTAGGAGATAGGGAGAGCTTAGGGTTTGGGAATATAATTCTTTAACTGATTTCTGCTTAATTGAACAAAAGACCCAAAGTACATATTTATAGCTAAAGGACCGGAAAACTTAATATACTATCCTAATATGACTCGAACACTTAATAATAAAATCCTCCTAATAATAATAGTAATTAAAGAAACCATAGGTTTCTATCATCTCCTCCCCCTTGAGACCAACCTTGTCCTCAAGGTTGACCAATTTAACTTCTCCTCCCACCACAATTTGCACATCGACTTCTCCGCTCTTTGCGCTTTCTTTTCTTCCAGTCATGCACCATCTTTTCCCAAGCCATTGAACCCAATCCATACCAAAAAAACCCAACTAGCCAGCCCAACTGAAGCCCTAGCCCACTCTGTAGAATCAGCCCATCTGCCTCATAAACCTTGTTGGCTCCTTTCTTGGGCAGCCCAAGACTAAACCTACATTGGTCCCATTCTCTCTCAGACTTGGCCCGCTCCGTTGGTCAATTTGGCCTGTGATGAGCCCAACGCTCTCCTCTTTCTTTTCAAACCCATGAATGAAATTTCCCTCCCCTTCCTGCACCAAACAATCCATTTCTCTTGGCCCCCAAAAATAATAGTTGGCCCAAATGGCTTGGCCCAACGAGCATAACTGTTGCTGTGGTGTTTCGCGGTTGGAGGCCACCCTAGGGTTTGAGTGCAAGGAAGCCACGCCGCCGCCCTCTTCCACCTCCTTCTTCGATGTCCCCAACGGCGCGCCGCGCACCCGACGTTGCGAGGACCAGCCCGACGCCGGCCTCGTCTTCGGCTCCTTCTCCAGTTCCACCTCCGCCGCCGCGTTCACCCCAACCGGCTCCGCTTCCCCGAGCTCGCCCCCTGTCTCCATCACGTCCTCCGACGCGGCCTTCATCGGCAGTTTCTTCTCCGCCGTCACCTGCTCCTCTGGCGATCTGCTCATAGGCGACGGGCCCATCTCCTCGCCGCTGCGTCGTTCCGACGCCGGCATTCCTCCTTGGGCGATCTCCGTCGCGCCGAGCCTTGACCTCCGTCCTCCTGCATCGCCGCCGTCTCGTTGGCGGCCACCACGACCCGCGGCGCTTCGCGCGATGGCGCCTCCATCCTTGCCCGCCTGGCCCGCGCCTCGGGCAGCCCTGCTGTGCCGCGCGCCGCCACCACCTCCCTGCCGCGTGCGCGTGCAGTCGCGGCCTGGTCGGCGCAGATGGCGTCGAGTCGTTGCATCATACGGTTCCATCCTGGATCAGAGAGCCACGAGGAGCTCATGTTGGCTCTGATACCAATTGATAGAAATAAGGTTCTATCGGATTTGATATTTGGGAATTAGGGTTTATACGAACAAAATTAGGGATTGAGATTAGGAGAGGAAGAACAGAATTAAGAATCGGCCGAAGTCTTGGACTAGGCAAGAACAGAAATTAGGAGATAGGGAGAGCTTAGGGTTTGGGAAGATAATTCTTTAACTGATTTCTGCTTAATTGAACAAAAAACCCAAAGTACATATTTATAGCTAAAGGACCGGAAAACCTAATAGACTATCCTAATATGACTCGTACACTTAATAATAAAAATCCTCCTAATAATAATAGTAATTATAGAAACCATAGGTTTCTTTCACAACACTTGGGTACGGAATTGGAGGAAGTGATGTAGGACGAAAGCAAGAAGAAGGAAGTTCATTGTCGTACGAACATACGAGTGTATGAGTACAAAGAACACAAACTTTTACTTATAAATTATTTGTATGACCTTAACTTCTTACAAATTAAACATAATTCCGTGGCCTCAATTATGCATTAAAGTTACGAAAGTGGCCGAACCCGAGATGTAACCGTTATCTTGGATAGTCAAACGCATTGACTAACGGTTAACATGTCATGTCATTGCCAAGTCAGCACAGATCACTTAAAAAATTTGGTTTATCCCACCTATTATTGTTTATCTTTTCTATTTTGAACGAAAGAAGAAAAAATAATGGAAAAAAATTAAAAAATGTCGGGTCCCAAAATTTTTAAATGGTAATAGGTGGGAAAAATGTCGGTCAACTAATCAAGTGTAATGGTATGGCCGGTGATACAACTAGTTTATGTTGGTTTAATACAATTTCTAAAAATGTGAAAATCATTAACATCCAATGAATTTAGTCATACATAAAACATATTTGAGCACATTTTAGTTACAATCCAACAAACAACACTAACTTTTGACTTCTAAACTCATAAAATAAATAATAAATTAATTTTTTATTAAGTAAGTTCCTAAAACGACATCACTGTACTTAGAATTGTAAGTCGATCATGCCGGTTTACTGACAGACACCAGTTCAACCAGGTTCAACCGGCCAGCATGCCAACCATGCTCTAAAGTAAAGGAATAGAGAGGGAGAAGAAGAAAGAGGGTGAGAGGGTGGCAAGGTAATTTTTTTTATGGTTAATCAAAATTGGCATTAAGCACTAGGGTTTGCAAACTGCAAAACCCCTTCTCCAAGTACAAAGTCTCAACAAAACACTATTACTATTACAAGAATATAACTCAAACTATATATGTAAGTATTGAACTGGGTTTCTGCAGGTTGTTCGAGGCAAAAATCTCCACTTCCTCTGCACTTTGCTTGACAATTTGATGAGGCAACCTCCTTTTTTTGTGCCATAAACTCGTTGGCAACATTCTCTCAAAATGTAACTCAATGAAATCAACCAGCACACCCTTCCCAACTTTGTTTTATCAGACTGCTCTGTCCAGTGTCCCTTTACCCATGCTAGATGTGCTTCCCATGTTGTGTGCACTGGTACTGTCGTTATCTTCTGCAACATAGTTTTAAGTACAGTCCTGCTATAAGAACAATGAACAAACAGATGGTCCCTTGTCTCCTCTCCATGAGGGCACAACACACAACTTCTATCAGTCATTAACCCCCACTGCACTAACTTGTCTCTTGTGGTGATTCTGTCCAAAATTATAAGCCATACAAGCAAACTGTGCTTTGGTATAAACGGTTTTCCCCACACATCTTCACTCCAGTCAACTTTAGGAAACATAGGGAAGATTGAATTCCAGATAGTTTTAACAAAGTAACAAGTAAGATTATTACCTTCCCATGCCAATGTAGCTCCTGCTCCAGACAAATAAGGTTGAGCTTGGCTTCTGCACTTCAAGATACGATGCCAAATCCAGGAACCTGAGGACCCAGACAAAGTCTAGATGGATTGGTGCTTAACCTTGTATTTAAGTATCCAAGCCACCCATAATGACCCTGCCTCAGCAAGGAGATTCCATAGATGGCGTATCACACACGCTTTGTTCCACGATTTGAAGTCTTTGATACCTAGAGCCTAGCTACCTTGTCCCAAGAAACTAATGCTCGCTTCCTCTTTTCCTGACTCCCCGCTCCCCATAAAAAGTTGTTACATATCATCTCCACCTCCTTCAATACCTTCGCTGGTAGCAAAAATAGGGCCATCCAGTACTGCATTGTGCTGGTGACAACAGAGGAAATAAGCTGCAATCTGGCAGCATAACTCAAAAGGTGAGCTTGCCATGTTCTAATTCTAGCTGTTATCTTGTCTACCAATAGCTTGCAATCTGTGGTTGATAGTTTCCCATTGATGAGAGGGACACCAAGATATCTTACAGGCAGCTCTCCTAATGGAAATCCTGTCACCCTCGATATCATACTCTTTTCTTCATCTGGTATCCCATCACAGAACAACTGGCACTTCTCAACATTGCACCTTAAACCAAAGTCTCTATAAAATCCATCAAGCAACCTCCTAATCCCCATTATTCCCCTGACTGAACCATTAGTGAATACTAATAGATCATCCGCAAAGCACAAATGAGAAATCTCTAGAAACTTGCACCTTGGGTGATAGGGCACTTGATTTTTGATAACAACATCATGTAAGAGACAAGAGAAAAACTACATTGCAAGTGTAAATAAGTAGGGCGACAGGGGATCCCCTGACGAAGCCCTTTACAAGCAGGAAAGTATCCACACAGTCCACCATTGAAACAAACACTGAACATAGGTGTTCTAACACAAGTTTCCAGTAACTGAACAAATTCTGCTGGAAAATTCATTGCTAAGAGAACTTTAAACAAAAATTCCCAATCAACAGAATCAAAAGCCTTCATTAAGTCTATTTTTAACACACACCTCGAAGATATTGATTTTTTGTGATAGTCCTTGACCAGTTCAGAAGCCATTAAGATGTTATCACTGATTAGCCTACCCTTAACGAAAGCTGATTATGCTTTTCCTATAACAAGAGGGAGTACTACTGCCAGCCTATTTGCAAGTATTTTAGATATCCCTTTATACAATACATTGCAACAAGAGATTGGTGTAAATTTTTTCATTCGATCTAATACTGGCAGCTTAGGGATTAAAGCTAGAATAGTGGAATTTACATGTTTTTGGCATTATGCTTGTTCGAAAGAACTCTAGTACAACCTCCTCCACAGATTCCCCAATTATAGCCCAGTCACCCTCATAGAACTCAGCTGGAAAACCATCTGGCCCTGAAGCTTTATCATTTGGCATATGCTTGAATATATTTCTAATTTCTTCTCTTGTTACGGGAGACATTAGGGAAGCTGCTGCTTCTGTATCAAGAGTGTGCCTCCGAAAACTTCTATAATAAGCAACGTCTTTACCCTTTACAGCTGCATCCTTATTCCTCAACAGATGTTGATAGAATTCCACTGCTAACTGCCCCCATTTCTTTTACTGTAGTGACCTCTATAACATCATCTTTTAATAGTCTCTTACTCTCTTTATAGATTGTCGGTGATTCCTTACTTTCACCAACCTATGGAAGTATGATGGGGTTATAGGTATAATATGCCCCTCTACTATGACGATTTATCAAACATGTCCCTCTACTATTTTTTACATCAAACATGCCCCTGTA